GAGGCTTTCGGGTGATGGTGAAGATGTGATAAAGGTAGTCATGGAATATGATTGGGTGCCTTCTCAATGTTCGAAATGCAAAGTTTTTGGCCATAATATGAATTCTTGTCTGAAAGGGGGTATTCAAAAACAAAAGGAGACTGTCAAGCCGTTGCAAAATGATGGGTTTATAGAGAAAAAGCGTAAACAATGGAAGCCGAAACAGAGTTCAGGGTCTAGTAATGGTGCTCATGCTACTTCTTCAGGTGAGCCTTCTAATTTTCATGAGACGATAGTTGGAGTTGGCACTATAAAGCCGGTTTCTGATGAACCGTCAATACTGGGAGAGAATAAAAAGGATAAGGAGGTAGTTCAGTCGGTCAATCCTGATTTCTCAGATGGGAAACGTAAGGAACATGATGACAGTCAATATTGTACGGTGGATGCGGGGAGAACGCCAAGAGGAAGGGATGATGTATCGAATGTAACTTTTCGATCAAAGGGGGGTCCAGAACTTGTAAAAGCGGTGATTCAAGCGATGAAACCACGACGTGGTGCAGTTTCCTCTACGTACACTAGTAATAGATTTTCCCCACTACCTTCTGATGATTCTAGTGATGAAGATGATATGGAGATAATTGACACTGAGGGGCATTCTTTGGACTATAGTAAAGGGGCAAAATCCACTTCACTCTCTCAATGATTAAGATCGCTGTGTGGAATATTAGGGGTCTAAATGCCCTAATAAAGCAAAAGGAGGTACGTGATCTTATTAATTTAAAGCATCTTTCTTTATGTTGCATCATTGAGTCCAAAGTTGTAAATAGTCATATGGGGGATGTGTGTGGTAAAGTGTTTGGAAATTGGAGTTGGATTTCTAATGGGAGTTTGTGTGATCAAGGGACTCGTATTATAATTGCTTGGGATCCSACAGTTTTGTCCYTWCTTATGATTGAGCAACACTTACAATATGTTCATTGTGAAATTCGGATTCTGGGTCATTTGGAGCCAATTTTTATTACGTTCGTTTATGGGTGTAACACGGGAGTGGAGAGGAGGGAACTCTGGCGGGATATTAATAAATTCAGTGCGTTTGTTCAAAGAAAGGCATAGGTCGCGATGGGGGATTTCAACTCAATGCTATTTCCTCATGATGGCTTGGGTGGCTCCTCTAGRCRTAACTCAGATATGGAGGAATTTCATCTCTGTCTGGAAGAAGTTGAACTTTTTGATATCTCGTATCAGGGATGCCAATTTACTTGGACGCAGAAACCTTGTGGGGGAAATGGTATTATGCGTAAACTTGATCGTATCTTGGGTAATTCAGCTTTCATTTCTAGATTTGGGGATGCAGCTGTTTTCTTTGAACCACGRGGGATTTCCGATCATTCTCCRGGAATTCTTTCTTTCAAAGTTGGTAGGCGTATTYGTCAGCGTGGTTTCAAATTTGATAATATAGTGACGTCTCATGTGGATTTTATTAAATCTGTGGAGGGGGTGTGGAAGAAACCTCATCGAGGCTCTTATATGAAAAGAGTACTTAGGAAAATGCAAGACTTAAAAGGAGTTTGTCGGCGGMTTCGTAATTCTTTTGGTTGTTTGGATAAACGGGTGGCTAGTTTAAAAACGGAGCTTGAAGTTGCTCAATTGGCTTGTGATCTAGATCCTTTTAATGATTTGCTRAAGGAGGACATTGCCCACCTCCTGTTAGCATATCAAAAAGCTAGAAATGATCAAATGGAAATGATTCGACAAAAAGCAAAGATTTCTTGGCTAAATGAAGGTGATGGTAATTCAAAGTTCTTCTTTCATGCAATGAGAGAAAAACGTCATAGGAGTCATATTGCTACTATTGTCGATGCTGCTGGTACGGTTTTCGTTAATCAAGACGTGCCTAAAGCCTTTATTACGCATTTTGAAGGTATTTTGGGTASATCTAATAGTTTGGTTAATCCGTCTATGGAAGATTGTACTTTTGTTCGCTCTTTATCGGTATCAGATTCTTTGCACCTAATCAGACCTATTACGGACATGGAGATTYAGACTGCACTGTTTGATATTGGGAATGAAAAGGCACYTGGTCCTGATGGGTTCTCGTCAAAGTTTTTTAAAGCAGCTTGGAATGTGGTTGGGAGGGATGTTCTCATTGCGGTACATAATTTCTTCTACTCTGGAACTTTAGAAT